AAGCTTATTCACGAGCTTCACTCTTCTTGTTTACTTTTTTATTTTACTTTTTTTCTACTTTTCTTTTACTCTAAACGAAAAGCGGTTTCATATCAAAGAGATCGTATCGAAAATTATTGATATAATTGATGTAATTGATAATATATAGATTTTTTTAAATTCCATTTATCCACGATTTTCTACTTTTATTAGCTTCGCGTTTTTTACAGATTCGTAAGAAAAAGGCACGTTTTATTTTTCGAAAAACTTACGGTATCCGAGCTTAAGCTAATTTTATTCATATAAGCAATTTTAAAAACACCATTTTAATGTGTTACAATAAATACCGCTGATTTTGCTAAATGCTGATATAATGAATTATTCTGAGAATTTCAGCAACCTGACATGTTCCAATTACCGTTACACCAAATGCATATTATTATTGTATATACACGTTTCACAGAGAGTTTCTCCGAGTCCTATATTTTATCTGAATTATAATATTACAATATTACATAATAGTGTAATATTATATAAAAACGGCACTTAATTTCAAAAAGAAAAGTATACGCTTATGTACAAAGATAAAAAAAATAAAAATAAAAATTTTAATCTATTTTTAAAGTTCTTAATCTTGCAATATCTCCTCATATTATTCTCATAATATATTATGCTTAAAATACAATTTTTCCTAAATAATTAATAGAAATAATATTCACGAGTAGTGGTGAATCTTCATGACTTAAAAATTCGATCGAGAAGATTATGATGATAACTAGTACACGCTTGCGCTGAACATGTCTTACAAGTCAAAATTGCAGAGGCTGCTGCCGAGCTTGCGCAATAAAAAAATCATTACTTTATCACAAAAATATTATTCATTTATATTAGACGATATATTCAAACCCAATATTATTTCATTATTCGTTAATTTGAAAAACAAAAAAAAAACTTCAACGGACGAATGAAAAATCGATAATACACAACTTTATTTCAAATTAAGGTTTTTTTTTTTTTAATATAGCAGCCTTTGTATTTCACTTATACCCTAATTATGAAAATATTTTAAGATATGCACTCAGGTACAAATATATATATATATATATATATATATATATCGTATAAACTCATGTACACGTATGGGCTTACACACACTTACCCACATCCTTTTTCAGATATTTATTCTGAATAAGTGTAATATTGCGAATTTTTTTCTTTTTAACAAATCAAATTTAAATGGTAAGAACTATAAAAATAAAGTTATAAATATAGCCACTATCAGTATTATATACTATACTATTACTATTAAAAAAAAAAAAAAGACTAATATGTCACAATAATCGTGACCTAAGACATTATCATATATTTTCCATTGTAGGTTAAAACCGCTTTGATATTTCGAAAAACTCCATTATTTTGTCATAGTGTACACTTAATGTTATTAAAAATAATTATCAAGTAGTTCTAATACGAAAAAATTTTGTGCAATGGCAGATGAAGCCACATTTGAACAGTTACGTATCTAAAAATATCACTACTTCGATATATCCAATATAATTGGATTTAATTTCCTTGAAATGATATTTTTGAAATTGTAATTTTAAGTAATTCACCGTTAAGGCAAAAAAAGAGAATTAATAATAGTTTCTTTAATAGATTAACTCAAATATTAATTCCGATCTATTAAATGAATTTTTCACTTACTTTTTTCTTTCTGTTTAATTAGTATATCAATAATATCGAACTTCATGTGTATCAAACGACATGTGATTTTATGATAATTGTAGAATATAAAATATATTTATAAATAATCTTATTTTATTATTATATATAAATCACTTTTGGATCAGATAAGTATTTATAGAAGAATAGAAGTTCTGACTGCTTTTAATTTATATATAAATATTTTACGATAATAAATAATTAAATACCGTACTCATATTTTTTATACGATAAATTGATATTAAGCACTTCATAAAGTTTAATGCAATATATTTAATTTACTAAAAGTTATTCTAAAATTCTTTAATAAAATATAAACATTACAATAACAATATATATATATATATATATATATAGATTATTTTCGTTATTATTTAGTATGTAATTACTTTAACCATTTTAAATTATCTTTTTAATATCAGATTATTCGCATGTAAATAAATATTAATTGAATTATATTTAACGAAAAATAGCACTATTCAAAATAATTTAAAAAAAAAAAAAAAAAAAAAACGGTAGAATGGATATATTTCCGTGATTTTATGTTTATAAATATTTTCAAAAATCTTATGAAAATTTGTGATGTAAACTGTTCCACTTGTTATCAAATATGTTTCACGCTAATTAAAAAGAATAATTTTCAATTTATCTTGTAGCGGACTATACAGATGATTTTCCTTCTTCTTCTTCTTCTTCTTCTTCTTCTTCTTCTTCTTATACCGAAATTGCATCTAAATTCTAAACTATTTTTTCTTGCTTTTTTTGTCATATTTATACAACATTAAGTAATTAATATAGTTAAATATAATGTGACTTTTTTTTTATATTTAATGCTATTCAAACATTAGTTATTAGGAAAATTTTGCTGATAAGTATCGATATCGTTTCACACAGATGTTTTTGGTATACTAGTATTTTTGGTATTTTTTAAGTAATTTTACTATTATATTTTTTTATTCTTTAATTCTCATAATTTTTCTAATAAATTTAAAAATATACTCGAAGAACAGCACTTTTTTATACTTCGTTGATGAAGCTCACTAATCATGAGATGTCGAGGATTTCCTGTTATCGTTCAACAAGAAAGTTTCTCTTATCTGCATGGATTTAAAAATAGCAGAACTTAAAATATAGACACAAGTTTTACTAACTCGAAACAGTAAAAATTCAGCAATGCGTCATTCTTATTTTATGAATAATTTTGTTACTATAATGCCGATAAAGTGAATAGTTAAATAGTGAGAAGCTTTAGACTTTTACATTATAATCATTTTATTTTTAAATTTCAATGCAATTGTAATTAAACGTGAAAGGGATATAATGATAGTTAATAAAGAAAATTTAAGAGAAAACGATAGACGTTTGATATGATTTTAAATCGGGCTATTTACGAATCAAATAAATAAAGATAAAGTATTTGAATATTCGATACGGATATCGAAAAAATTTGCATTAATAATATATATTTAATATTCGGTTAAAATTAATTATATTAATTATCAATTAGATATTAAGTAATTAAAACAAGTTTTTAAATCTTTAATGTAATCCAAAGCTTATCAAGCGTGCTTAATAATACTAACATAAAAGTTTAAGTCGTAAAAGTTTTAATGTTTCAGTGCTAACTTTTCCAAGCATCAAAGGAAAATGCATTAAGAGCTCGAAAGTCAATTTTCATAGAAGCAAATACATTGAACTATTACTTTATACAAATCATACATATAAAAAATAACATCACAACGACTTTATAATAATGTAATAATATAATAAAATCTATTGATTGACGATACGATAATGGTCATAGCAAATAATTATTCCTAAATTTATTAGGTTTTCGATTAAACGATATATGAATACCATTATCAATAAGACAAATTTAAAAGAAATTAATGATTTAAAATATTACCATTTTGTATTTTACAAATCCTTATAAATTAGCGCATGCACGCAACTACATATGAAAAAGTATTTTAATATGAAAAATTTTGAATAACTTTGAATAACTATGAAATTCTAAATAATAGAAAACCATATTATATTCAAAGAACAAGACCTTGAAATTTTCAGCTATTTTAAGACTACAGCAAAATTATTTATATAAATTCAAATTTTCATTCTTATTCGAAGCTCGTAATGCTGATAATAAAAAAAATCGGTTAATTTAAAAATAACCTGAAGTTTCGTAGACAGCTGCGTCATAATTAAAGTGTCTATCGTTCGATAAGCTGTCATTAGTGAAAATATCACTCTATCCATTAGTGACAATTTTGGGTAGATCAATTAAATATATATTGACATTCTATTTAATATGAATATTATAATATTAGGAAATTCTCACGCGCCTTTTTTTAAAATTTGTACTCTCTCAAATTCACATTATTTCTTATTATTTTTTATATTATTTTTTATAATTTCACATTAGAAATTGATAACTATCGAGCGATAATTTTTATAACCAATTATGATTTATTACCAGCATGTAAGTATTAAAAACAACGAAAGTAATATTTTAATACATCCTTTAATAAATTAGTATTTAAAGCAATTAAAACTATTAATTATACGAAGAAAAATCGTGCTTGAAACTATAAAAAGGTTATTGTCTTTGAGAATTATCTTGAATAAGCGGTAAAAACTTTTCTACGAATTCAACATGTGCGTATAATATAAAAAAAAAAAAAATAATAATTAAAAAATACAAACATATACGTGTATTAAAAGTGCTTACTGTACATATATTATTCAAATTTATTAATAATTATTCTCTCTACTTTACATTTACATACGAAATCTATCGGCTTTGGCCAATTTTGTCTTGGAGATTACAATTATATAAAGAGAGAATTTAAACTACGCGCGCATTCACTCGTTATTATTTTACGGATAAGTCAATAAGCAATGAATTTAGTTTAAAAGATAATAACTAATAATTAAGTTTACACTACGTTGCAAGGAAGAATAACTTGTTAAGTTTTTACATGAGCTATACCTTTACAAAATACGTATACTTATAACAGCACAAACGTACAAGCTGAAATTCAAATATTCATTTTATTTCCCGTATTTTAACGAATCTTTTCATTTCCAAAGCCACTATTGTATTAGTAAAAAAATACATTCTCTAAAAATATAATTTTCGCAGAGCTATAATACCCTTACGGGACGATTAAAGAGCATGTCGTTATAAAATTGAATTTCATCTCAAATTTAAAAGGAGCGTATGTCTCCGTTTGACAAAAAAAAAAAAGAAAAAGAAAAGAAAAAAAAAGAAAAAAACGGGTTACAAAATGTACACAAACCTCTTCTTCCCGTAGCCGACGTTGTCGAGTTCAACGTGCCTATAGGCCGCGTAGGTCGCCATAACGAAAAACCTCTTTAATTGCTAATCCTTGCTGAAAGCCTCGCAGATCCGCGGCAAAGTACGTCGTCCGCGCGTGGCCGAACAATAGTTATCCCCGGATGCTCGGGGGGTTGTGGAAATGTCGTGAGCGAACGCGACCCTCGGCACGCTCTTGGCACGGTCCAATCGCAACGACCTTGGCGGTCCTGCGTCAGTCAAGGGAATCTTCTCTCGCACGTATAGAGCAAGCAAGGGGAAGGGATCGTCGTCGTCGTCGTCGTCGTCGTCGTCGTGGGTGCGTATGTGTGTGTGCGCGCGCGCGCGACTATCGGCGTATAACAACAACAGCTGATATCTCGGGCCAGGGTCGCTCCTTTCTCGGGCGCACACTTTTCTACGCAGCTTTCGGTTATTGCGCGGGGAGAGCTTGCGCTGCCTCTACGTTTGTCCGTCCGTGACTTCGCTTGGGTAACCGTGTCGCCGAATGCTGAGCTGAGGCTCGCGCAAGACCGTACGAGGAACTGGCGGCTCGGGCAAGAGTCTCCGGATTATAATGGCGCTTCTCGGTTGCGCCCCTTCTCCTCGGAATGCCGCCGTCGCTGGTGGACAGGCGCACCGGCTTTTCTCGCTTTTCCTCCCCACCACGGATAAGACAGGCGTTCCGTCACTGCGGGGTGAGGTACTCGCGAGAACCGTGGCGGGTGGCGTTGTGGCAAAGAAGGGGGGAACAGTGGGGGGGGGGGGCTGCGGGAGCTTTCGATTTCGATGCTTCGACGCCTCGACCGCATCTTTTTTCTTACTCCAGGGGCGCGCGCGCGCAAGACGTCTCTCACGGCTCTAAGGGAAACCCGTGGAATCCTTTTGTCGGAAGTGCATCGGCACGAGGTAAAATCACACGGCCGCTTTATGACTCAATGATTTCCCCCTGATTTTTTTCCAAAGGTCGTAATGTTCCATGATATTCGTCGGCGAAATTTCATGCGCGTCGTTTTCATCATCGACTATACGTCGAGAGGCATGGCTTATAGTTTTTTTTAGATTTTTATTTATTTAATTTTTAAGCGGATTATCATTACAACGTGAAAATGGTCTTTTTATATGCTTCATTCACGATTTGTCCTTGCTTACTTTTTCTTTAAATTGTCCTAGAATTTATTTTCATCCATTTTTGTTCACCTACTGTACAGGCGCACGTATGTGTGTGTACTGGCCAGACTAGAAAACATGCTGCTGCAACTTGATATTGATAATTAAAAATATATGTTACTCCGTATGTCTAATTTCACACTCGTATGCCTACTTATGCAAATACAATAAAGAGCTTGAAATTTATTAATGCTAAAAATAAAATTGCAATTAAAACATACATAGGAATTAATATATATATATATATATATATTAATTCCTATGTATGTTTTAATTGCAATTTTATTTTTAGCATTAATAAATTTCAAGCTGACATCTCGCTAATCCCAAAATTACATATTCAATATTATTTTCAACAAATTTTTGATGGTTTAAGAATGAAAGTTTCCATTGCAACTTTACTCGAGTAAATTGTAAACCGATAAACTATACAATAAAGTGTGTTATTATCAGTAATAGAAATTTAGCACGGTAAATACGTACAACGATTATTCAAATTGAACTTAAAAAATTAATTCGTACTAATTCCCTAGAAATACATAGCATCCCGCTAAGCAATCTGAATATTTCTTTCCATTTTGAATAATTCGTTTAATTAATAACACGTTGATTCGCTCGCCCGAACTATGCTTCTGTTAAGGCTAATTTGACGCGCATGCGCGATTTTGAATGCATAATGACTGCTGCAGTCATCGGTCGAGATAACGTTTTGCCGCTTCTCTGACCACAGGATCGCGCGCGATACACTTAATAGCCATCGGACTTATTTGTAACATATGCGTGTGTTACTCTACTCCTCTCTTTAGCAATTACATTTGTAATGGCGATAACTGTAAATTTAATTGGGATTCGCTCTGTAAAAATACAGGACAGTGTTAAAAATACATCCTTAAAGTGCAACGATTAAAATAATCGTGCCTAGCGCTTCGAATTGTTTTAACTCTCTCTCTCTCTCTCTCTCTCTCTCTCACTTCATACTCTTCCTCTCAATTTCAATTGTTTATAGTGAGAAACGCACGCACCTATAGATTTTACCATATCAGCTAAGAATTCGAGGGCATGTTTAAAGCAATTTGAAACGGTGCTTACAATGGTATATAAAGTAGTATCATCTATCGCTGTTAATTATCATTGATTCAGTGACTTTCGGAAATTCGTCTTTAGGCTTTTGCGAAGCGTATAAACTTATGCGTACATGCGCACCTCAGTTACTTGATGCAGTGGCAACAAAAAGAAATAAAAATTACACTCGAAAAATAACATAAAATTTATAATATGAAAATTCAATTACGTTCCTCATGTTATGATTTGTTTTATTCTTGTCTACGAGGTCTTTAAATATAAAATTAATTATTTCTCATTTAATAGTGACAATATAAAGATAATTAAAAAAAGTATATTATTAATACAGCCCCGGTATCGCTATGATATTTATATAAAAAAAAGTAATTTAGTCAATTAGTACTTTTAAACTTTATAAATAATAATTTAGAATAATGGTAAAGTTTATCTGTACTCTGCACCTCCAATGAATATATACATTTAATAGCTGTGAATAATTAACAATCATAAGCGCAAGTAAAACATTAAAAAGTTTTCATATAAAATCAACTATTAAAGAGAAATAGAATTATATAAATGAACTATCGCGGATTTGAAGAATTCAAAATTACTATTACGTTAATTTCATACCATAATATATAACATAATTTATGATAATCTTCAATTTGTCGAAAATTTAGTTGTTGAAAATATTAAAAAAAATACAAATATAACACTCAATATACAGCTACACGCAATATGATTATATATCGAATTCAATGCCCGTCTTTCAAGTTATAAAAATCGACTTTGCTATAAACAACATTTAACGATAGTAAATGATTTAACGTCAGTCACGTTGGTTATTTCAATAAAAAATTATAATTAAAACAAATGTAAGGACATTGATATATTTTTTAAATGAAACTAATTACTGGGCATTCGTGCAAGAATAAATCATGTGTTGTTTCTAGTGAAAACTATTAAAATAATATCAGTACATCTTGAGGGAAAAAAAAGAAAAACAAAAACAAAAACAAAACAGTATTTTAAATATTTCTAACTATATACATGTTTGTTAACATACACATACTTTGTTATGAAAAAGATTTATTAAATAATATTAATTATATCCACAGAAAATGTTATTATTTTGTTTTCTAATATACATAAGTATGTATATAACTTATATCAAGAAAGAATTTTTTTCATTTTAAGAATTATCTCAATAAAAATTCTAATTTCTGTTATTGTTCGAATAAATGTACATATATATAAATTTATTAATTAACTGTATGTAATTTCTATTAAATAAAAAAATAACTCTCTCTCTCTCTATATATATATATATAGTAAAATCGTTTTTATTTAAAAATATACACATTTTCATTTGATCGAAAAAGAAAACAAATTTAAATTTATATATATATATATATATATAAGGATTTCATCGACACGGTTATAAAATATAGACAATAAAAGTATAAGAGATCTGTAAAAAATTTTATCGGAACCTATTTCTAGTGTTATGTAGGATGAGAAAAACGTTTTCTTTTAATTTTACATATTATACAATCCAGCCTTTAATGTATTAAAACAAATCTTTGCTGTTTGAGAAAGGATTAAATTTAAGGCTCCATTAAATAAAAATCACTTTAAGATCTTGATTATTTCAATCGTAACGCTGCTTGTTAACCTTGACTTAGCGTGCTACAAATGCGTGCAATAATTCGCAATTAAAGCAACTAAATAACGATACAAGAAAAGTAAGCTACTGTAAAATCCGCATTTCTTCATTAAAAATTTCAGCTACCTAGATACCGGTGAATGGGAGGAAGTAACATAAAGATAAAATGCAATTTAAAAAAATAAAATTAAGTGAAAGATTCGTCGGTGATTTTGTCGCGCTTTTAACTTTAACCGCTTGCTTTTTTCATTTCACATAAGCGGAATGAGACGCGTACTTAACAAAGCCACGTTCGACGGGGCTCGAGGCGAAAGGGCGTTCCATCATCAGTCGAAACACGTATGCACGTACAAGAAAGTGTCGGTATCGCGTTACCTACATAAGCACGCATTTACAACGATGGAGATTCCTCCTCTTGTCCCATCCCGCCCCTTCCCGCCACGCCATCCCTCGCTAATTTAGCACGCGTCCAACCCCCGAGTGGCGAATGGACAGTGGCACCGTCATTGGCACCAGTGCTAGCGCTGGCACTATCACCAGTAGTGAGCAGTAGGAGCACCGGCACGACGGGAGTCCGCGACGAGCCGATGCCGACGTCGCCGTGACGGTGCCGTTCACCTCAATCAATACACCGACGCCGGGTGAGCTATTACCTGACAGAGACAGCCGCACGTTCCTGCGCAAGTTCTACTGAAATGGAGAATGGGAGTAAGAGAGGGAGCGGGACGTTGGAAACGAGCCGGACGATCGACGCATTCCCCGGCGTACGAATGCCTCGTTGAACTCAGCCCTAACTTTGTCTTTTTCTTTACCGAGGCTCATTAGCGATAGCTCAACAGGGCCCAAACAGCTTTATACGAACGAGTTGGGTGTACAGACAGACATTCCGCACTTGTCCGTTCGAATGTGCATCTATGCGTATATATGACAAAGAGGAGCGTGCGTGGCGTTGGGATGAGAGTGGGGGTTGGGTTGAGAGGGGTGAACGGGTCAGGCAGAGACAAATTGTCGAGTTATTTTATTTTTAGTTATTTTTAGGTTCCTTTTTTTCTAACTATTTTTCTGAATGTTTAGTAATAAATGTTTTGGCGATGAATCTTGGGACAGATCGAATTAAGAAATAGTTTTAGGCGAATTGCTAATCTCACGTCTCTTACCGTTAGCGAACCATTAATATAATTTATTTGAACTTTGTTGATCGATTCTTTCTCGATTTTCGCACGAAATTTATACATTATACTTAAACGGATGGATTTTCAAGAATTACGCTACAATTTTTTTTTTGTATATTCTATCCTGTTATCGATCGATCATATTAATAAGAATACAATTTCAGAAATACATTAAATATATTTATTAAAAAATTTATAAAAAAATTCTTAAATCATTGCTAGGATAGA